TTAAAAAAAGGATGAATCTTGAGGAAATGATGGTCAATGACATGTCAGTCACAGAAAGACGATTATTGTACAAGGCTACTATTAGAAAAAAAGAAAAAGCTAAGACAAGACACAGAATGATTCTTGGCTAGTAACCAGGGGGAGGGAAGGAGGAAGAGGGGATAAAAACGTAATGCAACTCCAAAATGAATGGATAAATTGGGTGAAGGGAAAGGCAATATAGAATAAGGGGTATATCTGACATTCATCAACTGTAATTCATTAACAGAGCTCTGATGACCTAATAAGGAGTTGTCCTGCCAACCCAAAGGCAAGCAGTTCGAATCCCCCAGTTGCTCAATGGGAAAAATATGTGTAGTCTCCTCCCATTTGGTTAAACAGCCTCTGAAAACCTGCTGGAAGGTCAGCTATGAGTCAGTTCCAACTCAATGACACACAACAGCAAATTAATATGACAAAACATGTCTGAATTATTGGACAAAAAACCAGTATGATTTGTAAACTCTCACTCAAAACCAAAACTTAACAATAATATTTAAAAAAAAAACCCAAACAAACAACTCAACACAGTAAACAACAAATGCTGGCAAGGTTGTGAGGAGATTGAAACCCTTATTCACTGCTGGTGGGAGTGTAAAATGGTGCAACCATTATGGAAGGTGGTCTGTTGCTTTATCAAAAAGTTGGAAATAGAAACACCATTTGACCCAGCAATTCCACTACTGGGAATATACCCTAAAGAAACCAGAGCCACAATTCAAACAGATGTATGCACACCTATGTTTGTTTGGTGTTATTCACAATAGCAAAGAGATGGAAGCAACCCAAGTGCTAATCAACTAACGAATGGATAGAAAAATTATGGTATGTTCACATAATGGAATATTATGCAACACTGAAAACCAATGAACTTGTAAACATTATACAACGTAGGGGAGTCTGAAGGACATTATGCTGAGTGAAATACCTCAATCCCAAAAGGACAAATACTGCATAATACCACTGTTGTAAAACGGGACAGATATAGGGAGGTTGGAGAGAGAATAGGAAAAGAGTGGAGAGATAATGAACACTGCATTAGAACAGATGTGAGGAAGAACTGTCTGAAAGGAAAATATGATTAGGTATTATATGTATGAGAACAATCTGGAACAAGAGGTGCACTGCAGGGAGGGCTGGAGGAGAGACGAGAGGAGAGGAGAAGAAAACGTTCAACGATGAAAGAAAATTTTTCAAATACCCCCAAAATCTTGACCTGGGCTGAGAGTGGCAGCAACAATGGACTTAAGCAAAGCCATCACCCTAGAGACGGTGTGGAACTGGGCACTTTCGTCCTAAGCTTAATAAAGTGGCTGTGAGTTGGAACGGGCTGGACAGCAGCTAACAGAGCACTGGCAGATCCTGCATCCAGCTGACGTGCCCACGTGGGGCTCTTACAAGCATGCGGTGCACAGCAGGGCCACCCCCC